AATTCTGCGAGAATAAGCACAGAACCTGTCGAATAGTACAAGGAAGTGCATGATTTGTCATTTAGTAACTCAATTGCTCCGCTGGTCAGCATATGGATGATATACAGACAGGATTCGGTGTATCAGCTGGGCGAGTCCCCCATCTGGCTGATGGCCTACGGATCAGTGGGGATGTGCGTCGGTCTGTGGCTGCTTGGACATAGGGTCATTTACACGGTCAGCGAAGGACTGACGACGATATCCGCTGTCAGGTACCTGACGACGTTGTACGGCTGAGCAGCGTCTGTACTGTTAAATGTGTGTATTTTAAAGTGGTTTCACGATCGAAATTGGCGCCGCGTTCACCGTGCTGTTGGCGAGTAAAATCGGGCTGCCGATCAGCACCACCCACTGCAAGATCGGCTCGGTGGTATTGGTTGGTTTCGTTCGACGATCGGAGAAGGGAGTCGACTGGAGTCTGTTCAGGAATATCTTCATTTCATGGATTGTCACTCTGCCCGCTGCTGGTATCTTAGCTTTTCCTAGGCACAACGGTGGGCTGGACCGAAATGCGAAACCGTGCTTTTAGGCTTGATCAGCGCCGCGTCGGTGGCCTGCCTTTGCTTCGCCATTTGAGCCGTTCTTCGCCACTGATCACCGCTCCACAGAATGAAGAAAAACGTCATTTTTCTCCTCACCTAATTTTCTTGTAAGATTCGCCAGCTTTATGGATTACCTCAGAGTCCGCAGAAAATTCACCGTCTTCTCGGCGAAGCGAATCTCATACTAAGCGAATGTTTGCTAAGGATGTCAGAAATGTGTATCGTCACACCGGTAACGTATGTGCAAACAACTGTACGATGAAAGTTTAACTTAAGTACAGTCTAAAGTACTTTCCGGCGCTTTTTGCTGTCTTAGATATCAACACTCTGCCATTCAGTTTTCGGCTGCATTTATTTTCTTGCACACACTCTCAAACTTAACTGTTTAAATATGAAGCCGTGAAACTTTGTCGAAAATTTAAAACGTACAAGTCAATGAATCCCAAAGCGAATATGCGAGCCATATGGTAGCCATTGTGGACGTGTATGGTCACCCATTCGCCGTTACATCGACACAGCTTTAAAATGAATTCAGGGATAAGCAAAGGCGACGAAGCTTTTCGTGAGGTTTTATGCTTTACTGATTCCCTCCATAGGAAAAACTCTAATTTCATAATTTGGTCAGGCAGAAGAGGTGAAAAACGTGTATTTGAATGTATCTGAAGGCTCGCGTTTCAAACTGCATTCGTATTCACCATCGTTGAGGACTCAAGGTTGAGGTCTGCAGTCGTTTAGCGAGAAGATTCACTGTTCATACTTCATCAGCGAAAAGATCCAAATTTACTTATATGAGCAGTCTGATGTATACCAGATCTGCAGGTTCTAAAGAAACCTAGCGAAACTCTGAGGTATCAATAATCGCGTCATTACTCTATCGAAAGAGCACAGAATGGAAGACGACGTACGATGTTTGTTTGTACATAATGGATTAGTATCACATCATCATCATCAGCCTTTTTGATCCACAGGTCGAAGAATTCCTTTCAACGACGTTGCCGTAACCTCATCTGCAAAATGTACTCAATTTGATGTTCACCTCATCGTGCCATCAATCTTGCCATTGGTGCTTTAACGGGACATTTATTTTTCCTTTAAACACAGGCTAATGTATCTCTGTTCCAGCGATGGTCACCTATTGTTGCTACGGGCCCTGCACATTACCGCTGGAATTTTCTACCTAGGAAACGACATCGCAGATGCTTTGTCTATGTTCTTACCCATTCATTCTTATTCTTATCTTTCCTTGTTATACATATATTCCAAATATACATCTTTCTATGCAGTGATGCATAGGTCTGAATTTTATGAACAGCTTTCAGGCGTATACGTCATGTTTTGTTTCCGTGATCAAGCACTGGGAGCATACACTGATCAAAAACTTTCAATTTCAAGTGTCACAGATGAAAAGAGTTTTTATTCTTCCAAAGTTGTTCCATGTTATTTTTATTTTTCTGTTAATTTCACAGAGTTGATTCTCCGCTACAGAGATGGGCTGTTTCCGACAAACGTTGTTTCGCACCTCTTCATGACTCATTCCACTGACTTCAACAAGTCGTCATGGCCTGAGTCTTCTCCAGGTTCATGTTCAGTCCTGATTCGATGCTGGCGTTGACTTCTTCTTAGATTGATTTCTGCAGTTACTCATATGAGCTTGAAAGAATCCGAACATAATCGACGATCCTCATGTGGCTTCAGTAGTGCCCATTTACCTTCAATCGTTTCTTTTCGCAGTGGAGTGGATTGGAAACCTCTTCTAGAGCGGCGGTGAGATTACATCAGCCCGTGTCCTCACTTTTTCGATTTTGAACAGCTGAGCTTTTAGCTAGCATTTGTACTCTTGAAAATCATGACGACCAGTTTTCAGATTTATTTCCTGGCGAGTGGCGGTGAATTTATTGCTCCAATAAAAATGAGTAAACGGTCTCAGAAATTATTAGAAATTAAATAAATAATAGAAACGGCATTGACATCGCGAATGCCAACGGCAGGCGTCTGTTAAGCTTCAGCTTAATCATTGGCAGGACCATTTGCCCACATAAGTGGATATATCAACTGATGTTCCCCGAATGACGTGCAAAACACCCAAATGGACCACAAATCTCGCGGCTAGTTACTCGATACTCGCGTCAGGCGTGGCGCCCGCATTGCCTCTGGTCGTCATATGACTGTAGCGGAATTTCGTCGAAAACTAACCGAATCGCATTGACCTCATCTGGTAGCACGTCTGGCTGTTCGACTTTGACAGGCTAAAATATAACGAAGCGACGGGTTCAGCCTAATGAAAGCAAATTGAAAGTCATTGTAGTTCTGCCATTAGTGCAACAAAATCGATGGCGGCGTTTACAAAGACTACAAAGAAGCCGTCCTTCCTCGACGGCGACGAAAAACATACTGGGAATCAGGAGGGAGGATAGCCAAACTGCCACGCGTCACGCGGAAGACCCTGACCCTTAGAGTGCAAAGGAATCGGACAAAGAAAAAGTAACTGAAACACTCTACTGAACCTTCGAAGGCAGCTCATCGCCGCCTTATTTGTGCAGTAAACCAGAGCAACAGACAGGGCGGACGGGAAACTCTGGATGGAGGGCAAAGCGGAAATATCGGAAAGGCTGCTTGGCGAAGAGTGGTCAAGGTAGTCGACAGATGTACCGGCAAGCAAGCAACTCCTCACGTTCTTATTGAAACGCTAAAAGTGTCCCATTGGCAGTTAAAAAGAATGTCTCAAAAGATAGACTGAGAATTGCCAGCAGATGATTTACGACTGCCCTCTAGATTGGTCATTTTCAACCATTAATACAGATCCTCTCATAAAATCAGAAGTCCAAAAAGCCTTGTTAAACTTCATGAAATCGAAGGCTTATGGGGTGGATCTAATCCCTCCACAGGTAATTAAGTATTGAGGAATCGGAATGGTAGAAAACTCCTTGTCCTGTTTCATCAAATGTGGTCCCCCAAGCATTTTCCTGCAGAAAGGAGATGAGAAATCATATTCAAGTGTGTGCTTCAGTGTTCGTTATATTACACTACTGCCAATTCCTAAAAAAACTTTTCTCAAGAATTATCCTCGAACGTCAGGCAATTGATTTGAGACTTCGCCAGAACCAAGCAGACTTCCGGGTGATGTACTCCTGTTCAAACCAAAATTTCACCTTGCGTAGGAGACTGACTAGTGTTAAAGATTCAAGGCTCCTTGGAGGATGTCAGTCTCCTCGACTCTAAGGTTACATTTGAGTAGTAGCATCTTCAAATGATGTAAAAAATCTTGAAATAATATGGCATTCCTCAGCACATCGTTTCCAGTATGGGTGAGATGCATGTAGGAACCATGTCTGCTGTTAAAGCTGAAGAAGAGCTATCTGAATGATTTCCAAAGAATTGTAAAGTTTGCCAGGGAGATGTGGTTTCGCTTTTTCAATTCAACATTGTTGTCGAAACGGTGCTGACTCTGGCAAAAACGAAGGCCTCATTCTCTACCCTGACAGTTCAAGATATTCGGCAAGACAGGTCGCCTAGCTAACATGTGCCAATGCTACTGTCCTGGTACCATGAGAGGACTGTCATAAGATTGCTTTCATGAAACAATAGCAAGAAGCCATGACGATTAGGTCGTCTATTATCGACTTCCTGGCTCCTCAAAGACTCTGGTACAAAACGGATAATTTTAAAGTCTTTTCAAAGAACCTTAGGCAGGAAGCTGACATTCGTTGTTGGCCTAATTACTTGTTGTACTGCCTGCAGATGATCGATCTTACGTTTTTCTTTCATTTCTTCTACATAATTTGCCCTCAATTCTTCATCTTCATCTTCCATCGCCGCTTCTCCTTTCGGGTCGCGGAGGCAGGCACGTCAGACAGAGCTTCCAACGT